GCCGGCGGGGCTGGGGGGCAGGGGCTGCGGGTCGGGAGTGAGGGTCAGGGGGGTCCAGGGCTGGGGGGCAGGGGCTGCGGGTTGGGAGTGAGGGGCACCGGCAGGGCTGGGGAGCCCAGGGCCGGGCTGGTAGGGGCTGCGGGTCAGGAGTGAGGGTCGGGGGGGTCCAGGGCCGGGCTGGCAGGGGCTGCGGGTCGGGAGTGAGGGGAATGGGTGCCTGACTTCCTTTAAATCTTCCTTTAATTCCCCCTCCCCACCCGGTGCTGAAGGACCCATCACTTACTCATCCAGCTGACACCACGACATCTTTCACCTCCCTCCACCCCGCCCCCGCCCGCTTCTGAGGCAGATGCCAGAGCGGGGCCGGGCACGAGCCCCGAATCCATCCCGCCCCACGTGAGGCAGAGTGAAATCGCCCCCCTGAGCCATCCCAGCTCCAGCACCAGCAAGAAGCTCCCCCTTGGAGAGAAACTGCCCCTCTTCCCGACCTTCCTGACTTCGCCTCCTGGGCCCTAAGCCCCTTCTGCCATCAGCTTTTCCTGTTGTCCAGTGGTGGGAAGTTCCTCTGGATTGTCGAGCATCATGGTTCAGTCAGATTCAAACAGCAGCTTCTTATCCCGGCGTTTGGTGTTAGAACTCCCCCCTCCAGCCCTGCTCTGTTGGGAGGGGGGGGTCCGTGCAGGGCCTGGCATGATGGGGACACCCCAAGCTCTGTCGGGGGAGGCTCTGTGTGGCCCCCACCATGGTATATGAGCCCCCCCCCAACACAATGGCCCAGTTGGGGGTGGTTAGTTTTTTTCCAGCACTTTAATTAGCAAAAGAAAAGTTAATTATAAAATGAACAGAGAAAACAGCTGCGTGGGAGCGGGGGAAGGGGTCTGTCCTGCTTCCCCCAAATCTTGGGGGGGGAGCTAGGCCCCACCTCCCCGAGCCCACACGCAGTACGACTATTTACACAGATATCGCGGGGGGGGGTTACACTGAAATTTCTTACACCCGGGACTAAATGTACACCGAACCCCCCTGAGACGCAATAAATTATTCAGTAATTAAGGCACCACGTCACCGGGAAAGGGGGCGCTGGGGAGGGGCTGGGGAGGGCAGTCCCTGGGTCAAGGGGGTGCTAGGGGAAGGGCTACGGAGGGGGTCTCTGGGCTGGGAGAACTGGGGGGGGGGGCTGGGGAGGGGGGTCCCTGGGACATAGGTTAAATCTCCAATTCCCATTGTCACTGTCACCAACACAAGAGGCAAATTCCAACAGCTATTTGGGGGGTGCTGTACAGGGGGGAGGTGGGGAGCTCCTTTCAGCTGCTGGCCTGGGGGTGCATTGGGGGGGTCATACAGTACTGGGGGGCTGTACAGTTTTGGGGGTGGGGGTCTGGTATTGGGGTGGAAAGGGGGGTCATTGCTCCAGCCCAGCCAGATCTGCCCCCCAGCCCTGTCCCCCCGTCACACACCCCCATTGCCACCAGCGGCCCCTCTGGGTTATTGCTACGAGGCCCGATCCCGGTGGCATTGGGGGGATCCCCCCAAAAGTCAGCCTGCCCCTGAGCCAGGGGTCGAAGGTCACATTGTCTCGGAGGAGGTCGAAGGTCACGTCACCCCGGAGGTCGAAGGTCGCACTGGCTGGCCATGGGGCCAGCCCCCCTCAGCTGTTGGTGGAGACCAAGGCAATGACCTGCTCCAGTCGCTGGCGCAGCCGCTGCTTCCGGCAGCTCCCGTCCCGCTCCAGCGCCGTCAGCACCTGCGGGCGAGGGGCAGGGTCGGGGCACCGGGGGGGTCTCACCTCCCGTCCCCTGTGCTGGCAGAGCTCGCCCAGCGCCGGGCGGGGGGAGCAGTGGGGTGGGGACTCGCCCAGCGCCTGGCG